CACTGTGCAGCCGTGTGTCAGCCTCCCCACGCACCTGCCTACGCGTGTGCAGGCTCCACCTGACATACAGCTGTGTGAGCCAGGGCCAGCACACGCGAGTGACCAGCACGGTCACGGGTTCCCCTGCCTTGGCAGTATCGCAGTACGGAAAAGCTGTAGAATTTTGAGACTTACCATGTGTGAGCTCTGGGCAGTTTATCGGGACTTCCCCATTGCTCTATTGTAAACAGCTGAGGACCGTTTGAACCTAGTTGAAAATGAAAATCATACAAAATACAACTTACTGGGCACAACAGGGACTGCCTACGTACTATTTTTAACAGTACACATTTGCGTAAATTGTAGGCTAGATTTTTCAACTGGTACAAAATACTTAGTTTTAATTAAAAGAGTTTGTACCATGTTAAGGCAAATAGGAATGTGGTTATTTACTTCCAAGTCCCGTTAGCTCATTAGATTTATCTACCTTTGCGTAGAGGACGTGTAATGCAAAAGGAGCTCAGACATTAACGTGTAAAGATAAAAGTGCTTGGTTAAATAAGCATTATTTGCTTCATATGACATCCCTGTTATTCTGCCAACAGCTGAAACCTTTTCTGTGGGAGACAGGAGCGTGCCTACATAGCCCTGTGTACAAACCCTACTCCTCCCCAGACACAGAGCTCCCGCGTGGTCATGGGCCGGCTGAGATGCTTCAGCGTGGCCACGCTGGAGGGGAGCTCACCGTAAAGTTCAGCAAATCCGTTCATAGGCACGCGTGACGTCCCGGTAACGAACTGCAGCAACCGAATCCGCTTCTCGGCGTCCATCAGCAGAACAGCCTGTTGAGGCACACACACCATCAGTGTCTCACAGCTGTGGTGGCATTGGTAACAACTACACAGACTGAGTAAGCATCTACTTGTACTGCAACGCAGTAGAGATGTCACATGAAGGCTGCGGCACAGGGTGCCTGCAGGCTTTCTCTGCGTAAATGAGGAGCGTCCTTTTCCAGCTGTTGCAGGGCCACAACATCTGGGAGCTGTGCCTCTGTGTGGAGTGGCTGTAATGGGCACACAGTGGTTTCCCTGCATTAGAAATGCACCCGTGGGGACTGAGAAACGGATAAAGAGCTGTGACGAGCAGAGAGTGCACCAGCAGACAAACGCAGCTCAGGGCCACACTGCAGCACCAACTCAGCCAAACCTTTGGGAGCCATCACCACCGAGACCCATCCAGGTACCTCATCTCCTGTACACCACACACGGCCAGGAAAATGATGTAAGGAACCCAGAAACTAAGTTTGAAGCACATACACAGAGCTGTAAGACTCTGGTATTTGTAAGAAAAACACATGCCCCTTAGAAACATGTACAGCCATCTATGGGAAAAAGTATTTTAGAAGTTTTTCTGGGGAGACAGGTACACTTTTCATAGAAGTATTTAACTTCACAAATACTGCTAGACTTTAGATAAAACCAAACATCCCGTGTGATCTTTTGGGTCTCTCTAGTATAGTCTCTAATGAGTACCACAGCTGACACTTCCAGCATACACAGCAGTTTTAATAAAGAAAAAACATTTCATAACAGACTCCACAAAGCAACACAGGAACTTCCACCCGTAGGAACAGTGAGCGAAGCCAGAAGTGGTAGAACAACCTCACCTTCCAGAACCACTGGATCACGGGGTGATTGGGGCAGTAGCCGTTTTTGTAGATTGTGTGTTGTCTCCAGTCATTGACATCAACGTCGCCAAGGCCGCACATCAGCAACTGCACGGGGAAGTAAATGGTTTGGGTTAATTGATGGTGTGTCACACTGTAACTTTGTCATAAAATCGAGTACGCGTGTTTCCTTTTTCACAGCCACGCACTGCAGATACAGACACAAACGTCAAGGTGAGTTGAGCTCCTGTTCAGGAGCGTTCTCAGGGCACATTTCCCGAGGCTGGAGCAGCGCTGCACACCGTGACGTACACGTGCTGTGCGTGACAGCCTCTTCTGTGGTACTCTGCTTAAAATACGACTGCTATAGGCATAAAGGCTCAGTAAGCTACTTACATGCTTTTATATGCACGTACTCCACCACTTCACTGACGAATTACAATTTGTTGTGCTTTTATCTGATCAACAGGTTTATTAATGAGGGAGAAAAATCTCATTTCCCACTATAAGCAAAGTGTCTTTTTCTACAAATTCACTTACGATGGGTAAGTGGTGAAGGATGAGCCTAGAACATAACCCATCTTCCTGTGATGAGCATCACTGATCTGTGATTAATTAATCAAACTCACCTCTAGTTCATTTTCATCAAAAATCTTAATCAGATCAATAGGAAGAAGTTCTGTGAATCCCTAAAAGAAAGCAAAGTTACAGTTCTCACACGACATACAATTTGGTTTTTATCTCACAGGAGCTTTGGCTTCAGAGAACCGAGGTAAATAACGGAGGACCAAGAAGGGTTTTAAAAATCAAATATACAGTTGCTGAAGTATGCGAGTCCCTAATTAAAAAAAAATTAAATTCAATTACTAAATTATTTCAAGCTCAAATAATTTAAACTTAAAAGAGAACCACCTTGTTCTCGTAAGGGGAAGCTTATATATATTCTTACATGCGGTAAAACTGGCATCATGAAGCACAAACAGCTCAGAACTTGTGCGCTGATGCAAAGCTCCCTGCTCCTTTAACGCAGACACTGAAGTGTAAGAAGTCTGCACTAAAACATTTTTTGGGGAAAAAAAAAAAGTGGCAAAAGAACCTTACCTCCAGAAATGCATTCATTTGCTTCTGGACTCTGTTGACAAACCTCCACTGGATGACCAGGCTAGGGCACAGCAACAGGAACGCTCGTTAGAGTCATCTGCGGATTTCAGCAACCCCAAAGTCTCTGTGTCTCATTTACAGCTTCACCCTCTCCCCGCGCGCTCTGACCCTGAGCAGCTTCTGAGTAATTGTTCCCCCTGTGTGACTGCTCTGGTGACCCTGCTGTGGCAGGGGTTGGGCTGGGTGATCTTTCCAGGTCCCTTCCATCTCCTGACACTCTCGGAGCGCACCCCTGTTGGCTCTAACGGTACAAGGATCCTGTGATCAGCCATGAAGGAAGGAGCTCGATGTAAACCTCACTCGGGTCTGAATTTTGGCCTACGCATTTTCAGAGAGCTTTGCTTTTGTGTTCCGTATTGAGACGATGGAGATAAAAAAGGTTTTTGGTGTCTAGTATTTGCATCTGAAACAAAAGGCTTACCAGAAAAAATAAAGAGCTGACTGTGCAAACAGATTACACACAAACTAATGAAAAAAATACCGTGACAGCGGAAATAATTCACTGTTCCGTTAGATGCCTGAATAATTTCCTGTTTCCTATTAGGATCTATGGTAGTACAGACTGCAGGAAGCACAACTGCACTTTCTTACACTTGGGGTAAATGCCATAGAGGTGTACGTACTCGATGTATTCTCTCTTGTTTTCATTTGTTACCATGATTTCTGACCCATTTGGCTTCAGGTCAACTTGATATGTCTGTATTCGAAAGAAAAAAAGCAAAACGCAACATGACGTTATTTCAGGGGTCATTTCTCACAAAATCCACTCACCTTGAGCACCATTTTAAGAACATCAGAAAATGACTGTGCCATGGTAGGTACTGAGACACTGCAACATTCCATACCAAACACAGCACTGTCAGAGTGAGTTCTTGACCGGTCGCTACCAAGGGAGCAAACCACCCCAAAGCAAACGTTTAGTCCTGAACAGGCTCGTCTGGGTAAAGGAAACTTATTTTCCAATTAATAAAGGTAGAAAAATGCCTTCTGATTTTTCAGAACTTGAAAAAAATGCCTATTTTAAATCCACAGAGAAACTGTCTCATAAAAAGACCAGGTAAGTAAATGAGAAAAAACAGATTACAGAAAGAGTTCAGCACAAATTTGCAAAAGACGGCGTCACCACGGAGTGCAAGATGGAAAAACCAAACTCATCACAAGTAAGTGATGTACGTGTGTGTGTGTCCGTCTGCATGTCAGTCTGTCCATGTGTGTGTCCTGTTGGTCTGTCCATCTGTCCGTCTCTGTCCAGGTGTCTGTCAGCCCTTCTGTCTATGTCAGTCAGTCTGTCCGTTCATCTGTCTCTCCATCTGTGTGTCCATGTGTCTCTCCATGTGTCCATGTCTGTCCAGCTGTCCCTCCGTCTGTTCATCTGTCCGTGTGTCTGTCTTTCTGTCCATCTGTGTCCGTCTGTTGATCTGTTGTCCGTGTGTCCATCCGTCTGTCCCTATGTCCATGTGTCTGTCCGTGTGTCCATCTGTGTGCCCGTCTGTTTGTCCATGTCTGTCTGCCCATCCATGTGTCCGTCTCCATCTGTCCGTGTCTATCCGTCCGTGTGTCTGTCCATCCATCCGTCCGTGTGTCCATCTGTCCATCAGTCCATGTATCTGTCCATGCGTGTCTGTCCATCTGTCTGTGCTCCCGTGTGTCTGTCCCTCTGTCCGTGTGTCCATCTGTCTGTCCATTTGTCTGTCCGTGTCTGTCAGTCTGTCTCTCCATATCTGTCTGTCCCTCTGCATGTCTGTCTGTCCACCTGTGTGCCCGTCTGTCTGTCCATGCGTTCATCCCTCTGTCCATGTGTCCGTCCGTCTGTCTGTCCGTCTTTCTGTCTGTCCATGCGTTCATCCCTCTGTCCATGTGTCTGTCCGTCCGTCTGTCTGTCCGTCTGTCTTTCTGTCTGTCCATGTCCCTGTCCCTCTGTCCATCTGTGTGTCCGTCCCTCTGTCTGTCCGTGTGTCCATCCGTCTGTCCGTCCATCTGTCTGTCCATGTGTCCATCTGTCCCTCTGTGTGTCCATCTGTCTGCCCGTGTCCGTGTCTCCGTTTGTGTGTCCGTCCGTCCATCTGTCCGTCTGTCTGTGCATCCGTCCCTCTGTGTGTCCGTCTGCCTGTGTCCGTCCCTCTGTTTGTCCGTGTGTCCGTCCCTCTGTCCGTCCATCCATCTGTCCATGTGTCCATCTGTCCGTGTGTCTCTCCCTCTCTCCGTGTGTCCCGTCTGTCTGTCTGTGTATTCGTCCGTCGGTCCGTGTGTCTGTCTGTCCGTGCGTCCATGTGTCCTTCTGTCTGTCCATCCGTCTGCCTGTGCGTCCGTCCCTCCATCCGTGTGTCCATGTGTCTGTCTGTCCATCTGTCTGTCCGTGCATCCGTGTGTCCATCCCTTTGTTCGTGTATCTGTCCCTCTGTCCGTCTGTCCGTCCCTCTGTCTGTGTGTCCGTCTCTGTCTGTCCACCTCTGTCTGTCTGTCCACCTGTCTGTCCGTGTGTCCGTCTGTCCATGTGTCCGTCTGTCCGTGCGTCCGTCTGTCCATGTGTCTGTCCGTCTGTGTTCATCTGTCCGTCCGTGTGTCTGTCTCTACGTGTGTCTGTGTGTCTGTCTGTCCGTCTGTGTGTCCTTGTGTCCATCTGTCTGTGCGTCCGTCCCTCTGTGTCTGTCTGTCCGTCTGTCCATGTGTCCATCCGTCTGTCCGTGTGTCTCTCTGTCTGTCCATGTGTCCGTCCCTCTGTCCGTCTGTTTGTCCGTCTGTCCGTGCATCCATCTGTCCGTGTGTCCATCTGTCCGTGTGTCTGTCCGTGTGTGTGTCTGTGTGCCCGTCTGTCTGTCCTTCTGTCTGTCCATGTGTCAGTCCGTCCCTCTGTCCGTCTGTCTGTCCGTGTGTCCGTATGTCTGTCCATCTGTCCGTGTATCTGTGTCTGTCTGTCCATCTGTCTGTCCATGTGTCTGTCTGTCCGTGCGTCCGTCCCTCTGTCTGTCCTTCCCTCTGTCCGTGTGTCCGTGTCTGTGTCCGTCTGTCCATCTGTCCGTCCCTCTGTCAGTCTGTCCGTGTATACGTCAGTCTGTCCGTGTATACGTCTGTCTGTCCATGTGTCTGTCCGTGCATTTGTCCCTCTGTCTGTGTCCATCTGTCCGTGTCCATCTGTCCGTGTGTCTGTCCCTCTGTCCGTCTGTCCGTGTGTCCATCCATCTGTGTCCATCTGTTTGTCCGTATATTTGTCTGTCCCTCTGTCCGTCTGTCTGTCCGTGTGTCTGTCTGTCTGTCCGTGTGTCCATGTGTCCATCCCTCTGTCCGTCTGTCTGTCCGTGCGTCCGTCCGTCTGTCCATCTGTGTGTCTGTCCCTCCGTCTGTCGCGTCTGTCCGTCTGTCCATCTGTGTGTCTGTCCCTC